CTCCAAAAGCTGTCCTGATGGCAATTGGGAATGTTGGTGCCATGGGAGGCAATTAATCTGGATTGTCGTGTGGATGTTATCGGTCTACCGGTTGTCGGAAACCCCAGCCCGAAACCCTGAACCATTGAGAACCCAAACCTGAAGGCCTAAAGCAACATGGGAATAAGGCTGGCGTGGTTAGTCCTAGAAGCCCTAATGACAGCGAGTGGCTCGGGGTGCACGATTACAGTGGGGCACTAGCTCAAGATCCAACCTGAAGGTCCCAAAATCTCAAAACCCGAAGCCCGAAACACCTATATAATACGTATACATATAAATGCTATATATATATATATATATATATATATATATATTATTATATATATATATATATATATATATATAAACCCCAAACCCCTAAACCCCCCATTCCCCTAAACCCTCAATCCCTCAACCCTTCCTTGCTTTAGGGACTCCATGTTCGATCTATATAATATATGCAGATATTCTAATTTATATGTTCTAGATACAATAGATGCATGCCTAGACAGACTATGTAAAAAAGAAACTCAATATGTGGTGTTTGCTACTGTACATGTACACATCGATCACAACACTCACGGTGAACCCAACATATGCACATCGGGCCCCGTTCAATACTCGAGCCTCGTACATATAGGGTTCTCAAAGGCTCAGGAAAGTTTGGGGTGTGTGGTTTAAGTCGTTATTACTAGAGTTTAAGGGTTTCGGGTTTTAAGGTGGCTGAATATGTAATTTATATAGGGTACGTTAGGGTGCCTAAGTTCAAAGAAAATTTCTGTCTGCTAGCTGTCCTGGCGACTGGCACCAAATCGAGGGCTGATCTCTGTGTTGTAAGCATCCCGGATGGCTTGCCACTGGTTGAGAGCATCGGGGGTCTGGGGCTTGGCCCGCCGCGCAAAGCTTTTATCCTCAGGTCCATGCCTGATTCTTTTCTTTGTCTGAACATCATCATCATCATCACCATCTTCATCTGGCTTCTTCTTCGGGGCTTTCTTCTCTGCTTTTGGGCTTGGCTTCCCTTCACCTGGGCTTTGTTTCCCTCCACCTTTCTTCCCCGCACCTTTCTTTCGTTGTTCTTCACCTTCTTTTGATCTTTCTTCGAGGCTGGCTTCGAAGAGGCATCACTCTTCTTAGGCGTGGTCTTCTCCTTCAGGCGAGTCCTCCTGGGGGCCTCTGTTTTGGGAGGGGTCTCGAAATCCCCATCTTTTCCATCATCATCCTTCTCCTCTTCCTCCACCTCAGTGCCCTTGGCCTTGGGACTCGGAGTCTCGACTGGGCCCTTTGCAGCCGAGGACGCACGGCCACGGCCACGACCGCGGCCGCGGCCTCGCCCGCGGCCACGACCTCGCCCCTTTGGAGCAGCTTCGGCTTCAACAGCTTGTGCTTGCAGCAGTCGGCATGGATTCCCCTGCCCGAAAGTAGCCAATAACGAACGAGTGTAATAGCGACCCATGTACCCAAGACAATCGACCAACAAAATATCGTAACATGCACTGCCATGGTCATGTGCAAGCCTGAAACTCCGCCACATCAAAGTCTTCCTCTGAGGCAGGCTTTCCTGCTGCCTCATCTGCATCGGCGGCTGCTGGCTTCTTTGCTTCGGCCTGCCACGGGGAACAAGGGACTCGGCAGCATGACAATTTAAGGGACTCGGCCCAATTAAGCCCCCGCCTCAGCCTCCCCCAAATCATCGTTGTCATTCCCCGATGGATCAGCCGAAGGGCTGTAGTGACGTGTGCCCAAAGTAATGCCGGAGAGCGCATCATCATTATCATCACCATCGTCGTCACTAATGGTGAACACGTGATTCTGCAGCCCATCCAAGCCAGGCAAGCCCATGATGTCGTGGGGCAGTGTGTCCACATTGGATGTGTCTAAGTTGTGTGCGGGGCATGCGAGATTGATCATAATTATTCAGCGAAGCGAGCACTAAAATCGTGAATGCATCCGAGCAGCCAATTGCACTTCCGCACCGACGGTCTCGAGCAGTTTGCAGTGCATTCCTGAGCTTTCAATTGTTCACTATGGGCGGACATGCTATGTATGGTACAGATCGATCGGCCACTCTTATAAGGCAAGGTTCTGTAACACATGCAATTGCCAATCAATTGCGGCCATCTCATCCTCTGGATCCAAGGCTTCCTCTTCGACTGCCATCGGGCCTGCATCGGAGCTCGAGGCAGCAGGGCCAGCTTCAGCAGGGGAGTCCTCGGGATCACGCCCAGCAACACCACTGCCATCATCCATGACGACATCCTCAGCCACGGGGTAGGGATCAGATTCGTCGTTCAGCGCATCCTCCTCATCCTCCGCTGCACCATCGGCATCTGCACCCCAAGAAGCTGTCATAACATCGAAAAGCACGTGCAGAGATCGGTCCTTAGCTGTGTAATATTTAATCCAGGATATATCTAATTACTCAAGTTTTGTACGGATATACACGATTGTACAATTCTGCAGAGAATCTCGCAACTGTCCAATAGGGGATCTCCACCGTCGCATGGCTAGGCTTGAAAGCCTTTTCACACCCCATGCATCAACATACACGGCGACCGAACGGTTGCTGGTGCCGGGGTTCATCATCGTATGTAGGCCGAGCACCTGTGCCAGGGTCACAGACTGATCACAGCATAGTGGCAATTACACGGTTCATGTTATATGGCAACATCATGCAATGGGGCCTCTTGTTTCAGCCAGTCAATCGGCATAGATTTGCACCCATATTGAGTTGTGTGGTTGCCCCAAATCTCCAAAGCCAGCTTGATGACTGGAACGTTCAGCCCAAGAGCTTTCAAGCTCGCGGCTCCCACCAAGTTGGCCGATGGCCAAACCAGAAGGTGGGACTTATTTGTCCTGAAGCATGTCCGGATATCATTGTCGGCCTCCCATGTCGTGGCCAGCACATTCTCTTGAGGCCAATCCCGTGCGGGATTACGGCGCACTCGAAGCAGGGCTCCCTGGGCACCCGCTTCAGAATCAGCCATCGAGCTCAATCCCTCGATCAGATTCTATCACACGTTTCACCTGAGCCCCTCTAGCAGACAGGTATACCAGCATGCTCAAACCCAAACTGAAGCTGACATCTTAATCTACCGCTCCTGGGTCCAGTGCCGTCGACTCCTTCAATCCAGATCACACCTGCGCGAAACGGGTCTTGTAGAAGCTTTACTGTGGGGCTGTATTTTGGAGGCCTGTGGGGGATGTCGCAGCACCGCGGGACCACCACAAAGACCTAGGCAATGCACAATCAGAAGATGATGTGTTTAGGCAACATAAACCGATCTGGGTAGGCCCCCAACTCGTCCACAGAGCAAAATGTCAAAACCAGGAAGCCGCAGCAGATAAAGCCAAGTCTCCCGAATAAAAAAAATCAAAGAATGACCGCCTCATAGGCAGCCAGTCTGCGCAGCCTGCGTGGCCAGGCCGTGGCTTTCGAATCTCCGACAATATTGCGATTTAGAGTGTTATACAAGGGTACATTGTAAGAGATATATATATCAGGCCTTCAAGAAGTCGCCATTGAATCAATCGACCTGCGCAGCCAATAGATAGCCCGATCTAGTTATTGAACTTGTGCAGGTGAGGCAATGTTAGGTCGTGCTGGAAGATTTTCCCCACTGCTCACTGTGCTTCAGATCTGTAAACGTATTTGATCTTGCAGGCTGTAGGCTTCCGTTGACAATCAACTGTACTGCAGCCGCATCGATCAGAGATCTCGAAGACTTCCCCCAGCCCCTTGAAGCACCGACTCATTGCCGTCTCGATAACTCATATGGCAGGCAGCTCCTTCCCGAGGATATGATCACCTTGGCTTCGCTAAGGGAAAAAATACTCGGTGCTGGGTTCGGGCTTCCTGACATCGATCCCTGTAAAATCCTAGAATTAAATACTCTAGCACTTCAGCCATGGTACCTAGACCATTCTTGAACATTTCCACGAAATGCCGACAGATGCCATCGCATTTGATATTTTCGATGATGTCCGTCATGAGCTTGTCCGGTGCGGGGACATCCTGATGTAGCCCGGAGGTGTAGTGCATATCCTATTGGGTCTCTACTATAAGGGGCCGATGCTGGCTTGCGCAACTTAGGTTACTAGTCTATAACCTGGATCGATTTAGCTGTCGGGGTCCTCTGGCATTGGATAGAGAGCTTCTGCCGATATGTTCCAGAAATCGTTGGGCAATCGGAGCAATCCTTCAGGTTGAGTTGCATAAGGAACGAAGCATCAAAGGTCCTATATCAACTGTAGCCGGTCCTTGGTTATGTGCCATAGTCACACTCCTTGCAGAGCACGAAGCCAACATCTTGGCAGCCATCCTATCGATCGGTCTACCTACAGCACGTCTAAGAAGGATCCTCGAGCAGTCAGGCACAGCTGCAGGTAGGATGGACTCGGCAGTACATGTTCCCAAACCTGCAGCAACCGCTAGTGCACGGCTGGATGGGAGGGCGCACCTGCCCTTCGAGAAGGGGCAATCACAAAGCATGCCCGGCAAAGGGCCCAAAGCTGCACGAGCCAGCACACAACCGCTCGGAGTTTTGAGCGATCATCGAGCACAACAACCGGAATATGTATCGTCGATATATATACTATAGATCATGTTACAATAGCCGATATACTCGTCTCAGAAACCTTAATTGTAACCCAGAAATCGATAGAAATCTTTCTGGACGGCCCGATAATAGCTATATGAATCTTGCATCCAACTACTTGAACTATCGTTTAAAGCCGCCAAAACCCTTCAAAAGCCAATAAACGCTATATAGCATTTTTCGGGGTTTTAACCGAAATAACCATTAATCCCCAAACCATAGGTAATTCGGCTACCCTAGGGTTGTCGAGGAAACTGTGATATGCGCACTTCATCCCACGAATCCTCCTCAGACTCAGACGTACAGAGGCCTAGAGCTTAGATACGTCTGTTGTCAAGCCACGTAGCATCCTTCTTTGTACCACAACCCTGGTTTGCTGTCTAGGGTCTTCTCCTGGCCAACGGCGCCTACATGCACTTCGAAGCACCGGGAAACGAGGCAGGAAGTATACTCTCGTTTTCTACGTTGCAGCGAGCGCCAACTCTCGAGCATCCAAATCATGCAGTTGGATCGTCAGGTGAAAGGAGTAGGAGCACGCCTTAGCGCGCCACCATTAAGCCCACGCTCATGCCAAGAAGCCAAAGCCGTACGACAGTTCCCGACCCTCTGAAATTCTGGAGGCCCACTTATCAACACGGAGGCTGCCATCACATACTGTAAGCTTCGCAAACCTTACAAAACTACTCTGATAAGCAACGTGAATCTACCCGAAACCCTAAACAGGCTGGGAAATCCCCGCGCCCCTATTTCAGACTCAGACACCCATATGCACCCCAGGTCGGCAGTTCTGAACCCTTTCCACTGAGGCTTTCTTCGAAAAGTGCAGGGCTCCCTTCGATTCGAGGTCTTCAGTGTAGGGATCCTCTTTCAGGTCCTTTTCACTGGGAATTGGAGTGCCATACTTTAATACTCTTTTTGGACCTGTTCCTTAAACGGAACCAATTATGAAATACAAGCCCATACTTTGTTTTCCCGGGTTACTTCGAGAGCGTAGTCCACAGGCCCTATACAATTCCGGCTTATTCAGTCCTAAGCAAACCCTTAACCCTAAAACCCGAAACCCAAATCCTAAAACCCTAAAGCCCGAAACCTAAATCCTAAAACCCTAAACCCTAAAAGCCCTATAACCATTGAAGCCAGTCGGCCCACACCCCTAAGCACCCAGAGATCTTTGCAGGAAGGCTCCATACCTGCCTTCGAAGCCTTCTGCGAACGGCTCGCACCAGAGCTGCGAGCACCCCAGATACTTTGGTTTTATAGGATGGAAGGGTTCGGGAGGAAGGGTGTTCCAGTCGTTTGAAGGATGTTACTGTAGAACGGCTCAGGATCTCAGGGTTAGGGGCGTGGCAATTCAGAATTTCGTCGTGCAAGTTGCACAGTGTTCTTTTGTTACTTTGTTCTGGGGTGTTGGGTTTGCAGCGGCTCGTGGCTGCAGGAGATTCAGATCAGAATCCTCAGCCATGCTTGCTTTCGAATCACGAGGGGCTGTTAGGGTTTCGTGGTTAGGGTTTGGTTGCCTCAAGATGTTTGAGGTCCGAGTTTCGTGGTCTGTAGGGGCTATGCTACAGTATGAGGCTGACTTTCCCCCGCCATTGCTTCCGGAAACGCGTTGATCAGTGTTGTGCGGAGTGAGGTTGCAAACGACGTGGGTTACCGGGCAAACCTTAGTGAAGCTGTGGCTGACATCCTTCAACCAACTCCTTTGTGCCGAAAGCTCTCAGCCACAGGAAGCAAGAGTTGGGAGAGGGAAGGGTGCGTGGCGAGATAGACATTGCTGCCAGTTTTTCCTGATGTAACATCGCTGCCTGGATTTGACTTCAGCGTTTGAAGGCTTTAATAGAGAAGGGTTCCATCCGGAAGCTTTCGCTCCACTGATGCCCAAGCTCGTCGTTCCCAAAAGCTACTCAGAAGCTGAATGAGTACACTTTTCACTTGTGGGGGGGACAATGTTACCCCATATTCAAACTGAAAGTGTACACCTTTTCTGGGCTTGCGATCTCAGTATCTAAGGCTATGTGGACGAGGAGTTGGAAAAGCTCGGCAGTGCACTGCGAGCCGAGTTGGCTGAGGTCAAGTCCCAGGCGCAACAATCTTAAGCATTAGAGCCGGGCTTGAGGTTATACTATACTAGAAGAATATGGGGTTTGCAGGGCATAGTCTTGCCTCGGAGATTTGCTATACTATCAGCATGTGGGGTGTATAGGGATTACCAAAAACCAGGTGCAAAACCTGCAGCTCCAGATTTCCAACGGTGTTCGGGATGGGAAAAACCAAGCCGGGGGGCCGCTAGTTTCTCGGCAATATTGGAGAGGCGCGAAGACGTGGAGCCCGATAGAGCCGTGAGATGTGATGAGATATGTTTGGTTCCCATGCGTCTCTGATAGTCCCCCCCCCTCTCTCTCTCTCTCTCTCTCTCTCTCTCTCTCTCTCTCTCTCTCTTTCTGTCTCTTTCTGTCTCTATCTCTCTCTATCTATCTATCTATCTATCTATCTATATACAAATATATATATATATATATATGTATGTATGTATGTATGTATATATATATATGTATGTATGTATGTATGTATGTATGTATGTATGTATGTATGTATGTGTACATTTTCTTTATAGTTGTTTATTTATCTCTCTCACTCCCTCTCTCTTCCTCACATATGTGTATATGCATATATATATATATATATGTATGTACACATGCATATCTTTATGTACATATATACACGCACACACACACACACACACATTCATGTATAACCGAATTTGCATAAGCCCATCCATGCATGCTTACCTAAACATATGACCGATGTCTACGTATGTCTTCATACACCTGCATGCATGCATTTGTGTATGTATATATGTATGTATGTATGTATGTATGTGCATGTGCGTAACTACACGCATATATGCATGCATACATATATATATATATATATATATGTATATATATACATACATACATACACACATATGCATGATGTCCGTGCCTATATCGATATCCCTGTCTTTACCACTATCCCTATCCCTATGGAAATGTCTACTTGTCTGCATCTGTATCTTTTTCTATGTTCATATTCAGATCAGTGTCAATACAGATTATGTCTGTTTACCTGTCCATTTGTCATCTACCGATAAATCTGTCTGGCTGTCTACTTGTACCTATCCATCCTTTCCTATCTTTTTACTTGTATTTTTCTGTCCGCCTATCTGTCTATCTTTCTATCAATCTCTCGCGCTCTCGCTCTCTCTCTCTCTCTCTCTCTCTCTCTCTCTCTCTCTCTCTCTCTCTCTCTCTCTCTCTCTCTCTCTCTCTCTCTCTCTCTCTCTCTCTCTCTCTCTCTCTCTCTCTCTCTCTCTTTCTCTCTCTGTATATATATATATATATATATATACATATATCTATCAATCTCTCTCTGGGTATGTATAAATAAATAAATATATATATATATATATATATATATATATGTACATACACATACATACATATATCTATATATACATATGTGTGTGTATGTATGCAGGTTGGTAGGTAGGTAAGTAGGTAGGTAGGTCGGGTAAGTTATTGGGCAGATGGCAGGTGGGTAGACGGTCATGTTTCCAAAAGCCCAGGTGTCAGTGTCCTTTGACGAGTTGACCAACTCGAAGAACGGAGCAGCAATCGAGCACGAGGCAGACGTGAGCATGCAGGTTCACGTGGTGAAATCAGGCACCAAAGAGGCCGAATCCTCTTCCAAAGCGGACCTGCAGCAGGAGTTGATCTGCTTTGACCGAAAGAGTGCCTGGTCAATTCCCTTGGTCATCTCTTGGAACAACTTTTCTGAGAGTTGTTTTGCATGCGCACTCCTCATCGTGAATGTCGCAATGCAAAGCCTGTTCACTCTCATTATCGCTTCCAAAGAGTTCCTTGGCACAGACTTCTCAGAGAATCTGCAGGACGCACTCGTGTGGCGCCGTAGTTCCGCTCATGATGTCCAGTACGTGGACCTTGCGGGGAAAAGCTTGGCCACCAGGGTGTGCGATGAGGATGGATCCTTGATATACTCCACCAAACAAGCCGTGCTGGTCAGCGAGATCAACAGTTATCTCGGTCTCGGAAAACTTGGGCCGGAGGGATTTGCAGTGACATCCTTTCAACCGGGGGTGTTGCTGGCAGTGCTTTGCATTCTCCTTTGGATCATTTGCATCGTCCGGGAGTTGCGGAACGTCTGGTATGTCTTGCAAGCAGTCTTGTTCGGCCACATGCAGACAGCCACTGAAGGCCGGCAAGGGGTGCAAGCCGTGTCAGGACGGCGGGCTGCGGCTATGACCTTCGTGTGCATTGGCCGAGCAACGGTGGCTTGTGCACTCATGGTATCAGGAACCTTGTTCTTCTTATTGTGACCATTGACATTGTTGTGATTGTTACTACTGTAATTCGTTTAATGGCTATCCTTATATTCTTATTCTTTGTTCATAATGGTATCAGGAACCTTGTGGCTATCACGCACAACCTCCATCACGGAGCTTATGCTCAACTCTGTGGCTCTCGAGGCAGTGTTGCATGTGGATGAGTTCATTTTCACCGCCTTTGTGCCGACAGAGCTACAGCAGCAAATCCAGAAGTTGCGTCCAGTTATGATGAGGAAGAGCCGTCGATGGCCTCGTTTGGAGAACTTCGTTCTTGCTTGCACCCTCATGGCCGGACTTCTTCTGCCATACCTCTTGCTTTTGTCACCTCTCACGAAGGACATGCTGGCGGTGAAGAATCAACTCTGTGGCGGAAATCTGCTCTTTGCTGTGGGCCAGAACAACCTTGTCGTCGCCCACTCGCCGACGGCCAGCGCCAGCGGCGAGGACTCCTTAGTGAACAACGGGCAAGCACTGGTCCAAGCCGCAGCAATGAAGTACCTCAAACTGCCGTCACCTACTTTTGCGGTCTGCAGGTTTTGTGTATAAGCAATAAATCCTGATACATGATTTATGGCGGTTTAGGGTTTAGGGTGGGGACGCTACAAAAGCTTTGGTGGTGCAAGGTATGCCTTTCCAGCAGAGTCAGACAATCTTGCAGCTGCTCTTCAGTTCCCTCATCTGAGCGTCCTGCAAGGGTGGATGCCTCAGAGGTATGACGAGTCTTGGTTCTTGCTCAGTTTAGGGTTTAGGGTTTTATTTACTGTTGCCACAACAATGAAGCCATAATCTTCATACTATAGATGAGTCCCTATTATGGTAACTTCAATTAAGTTCCCTAGCAAGAACCCAGGAGTGGGTGTACACCTTCGACAGATGCGTCAGGCATGGGGTGGACTCGGACTTCTCTATCTTCCTAGCCGCTGCCGCTTTTGAAGCAGGCTTTCCAGCTGCGCAGCGTTGCCAGGAGCCGAGGGGGCCCCCTGCGTCTGGAATGGACTTTCTGTAAGGGTGCATGTACCCATATACTATACACTTTGGCCTTAAACTTACCTTGGGTTAGTAGGGAATGGAGGAATGGGGTACAATTATAACTACTATTACTACCATTCTTCCATTCCCTACTAACCGAAGGTGAGTAAAGTATACTATATGGGTACATGGACCCTTATAGGGTTTGGAATGAGTTCTGAGAGTAGACGTTGTGTCTGGTTTCGCGCTTTGTGCAGGAGCTAAAGCCGCTCTGCAGCGAGAACATTAGCCTGCTCGCTTTCACGAGTTCCGCAGCAAGGTGGGTGGTTGTCAAAATTTGGGTCCTTTTTTGGGTACCCTATAGACTAGGCGCCGTATTATACTAAGGACCCAAAAATAAAAAGGGACCCTAATATTGAGAACCAGCCAGGTGGTTGCGAGTCGCTTGCCCAGATGAGTGCGGTTGCACAGATCCGTTATCAACACCGCTTTTGAAGGCTCCCGCGCACGGGTGCCGTGGAGCTTGCATCCAAGAAGCCTACGGATTCAGCTACTCCGTAGTAAGTCCCCTCTACGGCAACGTGCCAAACTTCACCTTGGGATGCAAGGATGCAGTTCCTGGGCCAGGCTGGCGACACTTCTGGGACAACTACCTCGACTATGTATCCGCCGAGGTCGGCTTTAACTACTCCACAGTGCAGTCGCTTGTAGACTGGGTCGCTTTGGCGCGAAATGCGGGCTGCATGGCCTTGCAGTTCTCGCCGTTGGACTTAGCCGGCAATCAGTGGTGCAGAGGCAAACCCCCCAAAACCCCAAAACCCTTAACCCTATACCCTTATAGAATCCCTATAGATCCCTTTAAGGGGTCCCCATTAAGGGTCCCTCCTTCTCCCCTTTGAGGCAGCCACAGATACCGGCCCCTGGCATGGTTTTGCCCGGAGACTTGTGGGTGCGCAACCTCCGGAAATAGTGAAACTAGGTAGGGCTTTGGGACATTTTATATTTTCCCTTATTGGGCCTAAGAGGATCTCATTTACTAATATTTTTCAAAGGCTCTAAAAGCCCCACCTAGGAAAGGGATCACTTCTGCTATGCCTACGACTACTGCCCGGTGAACGTGATGCCCAACGAAACGGACGCCTTCTGGTCAGTGGCGCGTAAGCATGACTTGCTGAAGCCTTTGTTGAATCCAGAGCTATTGTCCGTAGGCAATGCCTAGCCACAGGATTTCACCAGAAATATTTTCGGGCGTTATCCAACATGCCTCAGTAATTTGTGGCGCTGCTACCGCTGCCAAATGGCACCAATCAGCACTCGCCTTGCGAGAGGAACTGAAACAGAGATCCTGACACAAAGTGCGCTTCTCAAAGCCCCCGACCCCTGAAACCCTACCATAGGGGCCTGGAAGACCACTTACGTATAATATTTTGGGGGGTTCCTTATTATAATATACATAGTATAAGGGGCCCCAAAACCCCAGTCTAATCATTAAGGCCCCTATGGTAAGCCACCAGGCAGCTTTGTGTTGAGGGTGAACCAGTCTGCTACGTCGCAGAAGACCCAGACGACGAGTGGAGCTTCCCGGCCGACACTAATGTGAGAGTTTTCGAAAATAGGGGGACCCGAATACAGTACCCTAGATAGTAGGATCCTTATTATAAGGGCCCTAAGATATGGTACCCCTAATTCTCCGAAACTCCCATGTAGGAACCTGATTAAGAGACCTTGGGCTTTTATTAGGGTTCCTTAGATGAATCCTGCTATTCGGGGGTTCTAGGCCCAGGGTTTCTTAATCAGGTTCCTGCATTCGGGCCTAAACAACTGGGGTCAGGCTTTTGGTGGAGCTTCGTTTCAGGGTTTAGGGTTCAGGAGTTTTGGGGTCGGGAGTTTAGGTTTTCGGAAACTAACATTGCCTTGGTGTGGAGTGGTGTATGACAAAACCATACGGTTTGCCAGCACATGCGCGGTTTTGTGGCACACTGGCACTCAACAAGTGGAATCGTGAAAAGGTTAGTGGACACTCCTATTGGTATCATAATTACATGGCATGTTGTGGGTTGAAAGGTAGCATCGTTCTGATGATGTCTGGTGCAACTGTCATGGCACCAGTGTCACTTCTGTGTTCATGCTTGCTGAAGTATTCATTGCAGCCTATGCTTACGTTCAGCTTAGGACAATCACTGCTCCTGTGCCTGAACGAACGAAGGCTGCTTGCTGCCGCTGCTTCGGTTGATGATAGAAATCCTGCATTACCCATAATAAGGAACATACCATAATTCCCATAGTTTAGGGTCCTATTAAGGTAATGCAGGATTTATATCATCAACAGCTGCAGCTGCTCCACATTGTCATTAGGCAACGGGCACCCTTCCCTCTCGCAGCGAAACGTGTGTGTCTAATAGGATTGGTGAGTGTATAAACGGGGAACTACTACCATACTATACCGTACTATACTATAGTATACGATACTATTTATACGACACCATGGTGGACACATGCTAGGTTTTCTGCCATTTTTATTCCACTACATATTGTATTCTTTTCGGTTGTATCATGATATGTTCTGTTTTATTCCACTCTACTCTACTCTACTCTATTCTAAATTTGTTATTCTATATTTTCGGGTTCTAGGCCCGGGGCTTCTCAATCAGGTTCCTACATTAGCAGTGATTCCTAATATGCAAACCCTACATTCGATAATGTCGGTACTTTGTTCCCTCTTTGGGTATATGGGTGGATTACGCCCGGAGCATCATGGAATGCCCTACAGCCTAAACCCTAAACCGGAGCTGATTGCTGATTAGCAGTGTCTGCCGATACCTTGACTTGCATCTACACCCTAAACCCTAAACTCCGTCCTACGAAACTCCACAAGAACTGGAAAGAACCCCAAGCCTCACACTGAACCAGGAGCTCAAAGGGGAAAGGAGGGACCCTTAATAAGGACCCCTTAGGTATATACCCCTGATATAGCTATTATATAGCCCATTATATAGCCCATTATAGGGTAGGGGTCCCCATTAAGGGTCCCTCCTTTTTCACTGAACCAGAAGCCCTGCAAAACCTAGAAACCTACTCAAGCCCAAGATCCCAAGTCGGACTGTACCTCTATGATCAAACCCTTCAAGCCATGAAAAGAAAATGCCCATGGTGTCGTAAATATAATCAGTGTAGTAATGTAGTATATTATAGTATATATAGTATAGTAAAGTATAGTCTAGTATAGTATAGTATAGTATAGTATAGTATAGTTTAGTAGTAATCCTCTAAACCCTAAACCCTGCAACCCCAAACTCTTCTTCTCAGGCGCCGGAGAGTACCTGGGCGGATTTGCACTCAGCCTCGCTTGGCGCCACGGCCCCGCCACAGCCCCGGCAAGGCTCTCGGAGCACTGCGTCTTCACAGGGAAGGCCGGTGAAGACTTGAAGCAACCCTATTTAGGGCCTAGGGTGATTACAGGGAAACCCTAAAATATGGGGGTTAGGGTTCAGGGCTTAGGGTAATTATAGGGAACCCTTGAATTTTGGGCTTAGGGTTTAGGGTTTCGGCCTTAACCTGAATTGTTAACCTTGAACCCTACATAGACCCTGAGCTCTGGACCCTGTAAGCCAAAAACCGTGTAAGTACAAACCTTACAAACCCATATAACTCCTGGCCCTAAACAACTCGAGGTTTCAGACCAAATGAGCTTTACGGTAGGGCTTCAATGCTTTGGATCTTTGGGGTTCAGGATTTATTGGGAGCTTTAGGCTTTCAGGGCTTTAGGATTTCTGTTGTCTTCGTGGTTAAGGCTTGGGTACTGGCCCCACCCTGTAACAGTCTATATCCGAGGTCATCTTAAGGGCTATATACAAACACATTGTAAATATAGGGGTCATATTAAGCGCTATATACAAACATATGGTAGATATTGCTTAAGTGTTGCAGAGTGCGGGCAGTACCCAACTTAAGACTCTTGGGGTTGATTGGGGTTTTGGCTTGAGGGTTTGGGGCCGCAAGCCCAGCAAAGCCCGGCCATCCTCTGCTGAAGTACCGAGTAGGTAATTTTTTGCTTAAAAATGCTGGGGCATTATCCTCCCGATACCTGGGCCCACAAGAAGCTACCACTTTAGAGTTTTGTAGGAGGAAATCATAGTAAGTCGCCCCCCCCCCCCCCAACAGGGAGGGTTTTACGCGGTCCAGGAACTCATGGGACACTGGACAAGTATGACACCCAGCAAGAGCTTAAGCTCCTGCAAGCCCAAATCCTAATCATTGTGAAGCCCTAGGGGTAAATAGAAATATTTTTTACTTTTTGGTGATTATAATCCCTAAGAAACAGCTAAAATTATATTTTCTGCTAGGGTTCTAAGTTCAGTATAGAAGTTCGGAGTTCGGAGCTTCCTAAATCCAAAGCCAAAATCGCCATAGATCGAAGCCTCCCACCTGAATCAAGCCTGAACCCATTATCATCTTACCTACCGTTGGTTAGTAGTAGGGAATGGAAGAATGGTACTGTAGCAGTAGTAGTTATAATTGTACCCCATTCCTCCGTTCCCTACCCCTGAGGGTCCATGTACACATATAGAGATACATGGGCCCCAAAGTACCTATATAGGGACTACATTAAGGCCAATGTATATACTATATGAGTACATGGACCCTTGAAGCTTTCTAGTTCTCCACTCCGACAGGTCTTGGATAAAGTCTGGTGCCTGGCATCGGGGCAACAGTACCTTGTGGCCTCCTACCGGCTGCGCGATGCCTTGCCTGAGACACAAAAAGAGTTTGTTGGGGTTTCGGGCTGCGAACAAACCCACACAAAACCCTAGGAAGCCTTGTTGGTCTGTTTTAGGCGAGGATAGCTAAAACCCTATAAACCCTAAACCCCCTAAACCCCAAACCCTAAACCGCTACGCAGAGCGACCGTCACAAGCACCCACAGGGTGTCAGCGTAAGCCAGCGTATCCGCAGGTCGACAGGGCCATCGCTTTAGTAAACCCTACCCCCCCCCCCAAATGGCCCCTCAAACCTTAAACCCCCTCAACCCTCAAAACAAAAAGAACAAAATGGCCCCTAAACCCTAAAACCCTAAAAGCAAAATGGCCGCGTCAGCTCCGCAGGACGCCGAGGACGGCCTCATTGTGAACTTGAAGCCAGACTCGGAAGAGACGCTCTGACAGCATTTCGTTTTTTTTTTTTCTGGGGGGGAACGTGGGCTGTAGTGACACGCGCTCCATAAACTTCATCTTGAGATCCTCATCCCTGAACTCTGAACCTTTACCCTCAACCACTCGTGGAATCCTTCTTCCGCGAACGAAGCTACGATCTGTGTTAGGGTAGGATGTTCCTTGCCCGGGCTTGGGGTTGAGATGTGTTTTCTGTCGGGTTTGTCGCTTAGTGCTCAACTTTTCTACGAACGGGTCTAGAGTTTCATGTATACAGGGATGCCATTGAACTGTTGATGATATGAATCCTGCATTACTTTAAGGAGCCTAGACTATGGGAATTCTGGTATACTCCTTATTGTGGGTAATGCAGGATTTATATCATCAACCGAAGCATTGGCAAAGTCGGCGGAAGTCTCCCCGCAGGAAGGCCCAGAGGCCAGACGACAATATGAGGTCAAGACGGGTTCGCATTTCAGGTCGAGTATTCCTGAGAGTGTGGCATTAATGTCTGCGTGGTGGATGTATGTAGGTATGGATGGATGGATGGATGCACCGATGTCTGTCTAGTCTGTCTGCTCTGCCATGCTGTGCCGTGCCATCCCCTGCCATGCCCATGTGTATGTACGAATACATGGATGCAGGTATGTGTGCATGTGAGCATGTGTGTATGTATGCATGCATGCATGCATGCATGCATGCATGCATGCATGTATGTATGTATGTATGTATATATGTATTCGATGCTTTTATTGTACGTGAGTATGTATATATATATATATATATATATATATTGTATGCAAGTATGTATGCTTGCTTTTAAGTATTCATGTATTTGTGTATGTATATGTATATAGGTATATGTATAGGTATGTATATGTATTCAGGGACAAGTCGCGAAGGCCTAGTTTTCTGGACAGCAGACTGCAGAATCGAGGGAACGCACCACCAACCTCGAATCGTAAACGCCTCGAGCCTCATTTAAGACCACTATGAGTGGGAAAATAGGAATTGCAACCCCTTAAACTCACTGTATAGTCACACTGCAACGTAGCCCAAAGCTCTGTTCCAATGTTTGATGGCCCCTCCCCTGAACCCTCATCTGCTCAACCCGTCAGTTTGAAATTCGCCCAGGATTCTCGCTCCGGTACGTGTTTTCACCTCGGAGGCTTGCTTTGGGGTTGAAGTTTGTGTCCAGACATATGAGATTTGCACATCCGCTTCCACGGCGTTACGCTTGCACCAATCCTCTACACCTGAACGGTAGTGCGTGTGCAGACTGGCTATTCTGTGGATAAGGACCTATATACACTCAAAACCGGCACGTGGGAAAGGTATTAGAATCCCCCTAAACCCTACATAACTTCTAAATACTCAACCGTAAATCCTAAACTCTGGAAACCCTAGACCCCAAGCTCTATGAACCCTAACTCTGAAAACCCTAAACCCTAAACTCTGAAAGCCCTAAACCCTAAACCTCAAACCCTGAACCCTAAACTCTGAAAGCCCTAAACCTCAAACCCTGAACCCTAAACTCTGGAAACCCTAAACCCTGAACCCTAAACTCTGGAAACCCTAAACCCTATAAACCCTAAACTCTGGAAGCCCTAAACCCCAAACCTTAAACTCTGGAAACCCTAAACCCTATAAACCCTAAACTCTGAAAACCCTAAACCCTATCTAAACCCTAAACTCTGAAAGCCCTGAACTCTCAAAGCCCTGAACTCTCAAAGCCCTGAACTCTAAACCCTAAACTTTGAAAGCCCTGAACTCTCAAAGCCCTGAACTCTCAAAGCCCTGAACTCTTAAAGCTCTGAACTCTAATCCCTAAACTCTGAAAACCCTGAACTCTGAAAGCCCTGAACTCTCAAAGCCCTGAACTCTCAAAGCTCTGAACTCTGAAAGCCCTAAACCCTATAGACCCCATACTCTGAAAACTCTAAACCCTAAGCCCTGAACTCTAAACCCTAAACTCTGAAAGCCCTTAACTGTAACCCTAAACCCTAAACTCTGAAACCCCGAAACCCTGAACCCCTAAACTCTGGAAACCCTAAACCCCAAACCCTAAACCCTAAACCCTAGAATCTAAACCCTAACTCTGAAATGCTTAAACCCTAAACTCTAAACCCTAAACTTTGAAAGCCCTGAACTGTAGCCCTAAACCCTAAACCCTAAACTGTGAAACCCCTAAACTCTGGAAACCCTAAACCCTAAACCCCAAACCCTAAACCCCAAACCCTAAACCCAAACCCTAACTCTGAAATTCTTAAACCCTAAACTCTAAACCCTAAACTTTGAAAGCCCTGAACTGTAGCCCTAAACCCTAAACTCTGAAACCCCTAAACTCTGGAAACCCTAAACCCTAAACCCCAAACCCCAAACCCCAAACCCCAAACCCTAAACCCAAACCCTAACTCTGAAATTCTTAAACCCTAAACTCTCAAGAGCAGGATAAATAGAAATTGTATGAAATTCGCTTCGAAAGGATTTTCATTAATTTCGAATTTTCGTTAAACGTGTGGGAAGAAATCCCAGCCCAATTCAGCTCCAGCACCAGCACAGCTCCCACAGCCAGCCCCAGCTCCAGGTCCAGCCCCAGCCGCCCCAGCCCAGCCCCAGCCCCAGCCCCCAGCCCCCGCCACAGCCGGCCCCAGCCCTCGCCGTCATGAGGGGCAGGGACCCATCCAGGAGGCTTCGGTTTCACTTCTACAAGAGGGCTCCAGGAGGCTTCGGTTTCACCTCTACAAGAGGGCTCCAGGAGGCTTCGGTTTCACCTCTACAAGAGGGCTCCAGGAGGCTTCGGTTTCACCTCTACAAGAGGGCTCCAGGAGGCTTCGGTTTCACTTCTACAAGAGGGCTCCAGGAGGCTTCGGTTTCACCTCTACAAGAGGGCTCCAGGAGGCTTCGGTTTCACCTCTACAAGAGGGCTCCAGGAGGCTTCGGTTTCACCTCTACAAGAGGGCTCCAGGAGGCTTCGGTTTCACCTCTACAAGAGGGCTCCAGGAGGCTTCGGTTTCACCTCTACAAGAGGGCTCCAGGAGGCTTCCGTTTCACATCTACAAGAGGGCTCCAGGAGGCTTCCGTTTCACCTCTACAAGAGGGCTCCAGGAGGCTTCCGTTTCACCTCTACAAGAGGGCTCCAGGAGGCTTCCGTTTCATCTACAAGAGGGCTCCAGGAGGCTTCCGTTTCACCTCTACAAGAGGGCTCCAGGAGGCTTCGGTTTCACCTCTACAAGAGGGCTCCAGGAGGCTTCGGTTTCACCTCTACAAGAAAGCTCCAGGAGGCTTCCGTTTCACCTCTACAAGAGGGCTCCAGGAGGCTTCGGTTTCACCTCTACAAGAAGGCTCCAGGAGGCTTCGGTTTCACCTCTACAAGAGGGCTCCAGGAGGCTTCGGTTTCACCTCTACAAGAGGGCTCCAGGAGGCTTCGGTTTCACCTCTACAAGAGGGCTCCAGGAGGCTTCGGTTTCACCTCTACAAGAGGGCTCCAGGAGGCTCCGGTTTCACCTCTACAAGAGGCCTCCAGGAGGCTTCGGTTTCACCTCTACAAGAGGGCTCCAGGAGGCTTCGGTTTCACCTCTACAAGAGGGCTCCAGGAGGCTTCGGTTTCACATATACAAGAGGATCCAGGGAGGCTTCGGTTTCACCTCTACAAAGCGCTACAGGAGGCTTCGGTTTCACCCGAGAAAGGGAGGGCTAGGAGGCTCTTCTCGGTTTCACCTATAACAAGGAGGGCTCAAGAGGCTTCGGTTTTCACCTCACTACAAAAGGTCGCCAGGAGGCTTCGGTTTTCACCTCTCAAGAGGGCTCAAGGGAGGCTTTCGGTTTCACCTTACAAGAGGCTCCAGGAGGCTTCGGTTTCCATACAAGAGGGCTCCAGGGAGGCTTCGGTTTCACTTCTACAAGAGGGCTCCAGGGAGGCTTCGGTTTCACCTCTCCAAGAGGGCTCCAGGAGGCTTCGGTTTCACCTCTACAAGAGGGCTCCAGGAGGCTTCGGTTTCACCTCTACAAGAGGGCGCCAGGAGGCTTCGGTTTCACCTCCACAAGAGGGCTCCAGGAGGCTTCGGTTTCACCTCTACAAGAGGGCTCCAGGAGGCTTCGGTTTCACCTCTACAAGAGGGCTCCAGGAGGCTTCCGTTTCACCTCTACAAGAGGGCTCAAGGAGGCTGCTCGGTTTCACTGTCTACAAGAGGGCTCCAGGAGGGCTCGGTTTCACCTCTACAAAGAGGGCACCAGGAGGCTTCCGTTCACCTCTACTAAGAGGGTCCAGGGAGGCTTCCGTTCACCTCTACAAGGAAGGCTCCAGGAGGCTTTCCGGTTTCTCATCCAAAGAGGCTCCAGGAAGGCTCCGTTTCCCTCTACAGAGGGCTCAGGAGGCACGTGTTCACCTCGACAACAGACTCCCAGGATCTGTCCGTTTAACCCTCTACAAGAAGGGCTCAGGAGGCTTCCGTTTCGTAAACGCTACAAGAGGGCTAAGGAGGCTTCGGTTTCACCTCTACAAGAGGCCTCCAGCAGGCTTCGGTTTCACCTCTACAAGAGGGCTCCAGGAGGCTTCGGTTTCACCTCTACAAGAGGGCTCCAGGAGGCTTCGGTTTCACCTCTACCAAGAGGGCTCCAGGAGGCTTCGGTTTCACCTCTACAAGAGGGCTCCAGGAGGCTTCGGTTTCACCTCTACAAGAGGGCTCCAGGAGGCTTCGGTTTCACCTCTACAAGAGGGCTCCAGGAGGCTTCCGTTTCACCTCTACAAGAGGGCTCCAGGAGGCTTCGGCTTCACCTCTACAAGAGGGCTCCAGGAGGCTTCGGTTTCACCTCTACAATAGGGCTCCAGGAGGCTTCGGTTTCACCTCTACAAGAGGGCTCCAGGAAGCTTCGGTTTCACCTCTACAGGAGGGCTCCAGGAAGCTTCGGTTTCACCTCTACAAGAGAGCTCCAGGAAGCTTCGGTTTCACCTCTACAAGAGGGCTCCAGGGAAGCTTCGGTTTCACCTCTACAAGAAGGCTCCAGGGAAGCTTCGGTTTCACCTCTACAAGAGGGCTCCAGGAGGCTTCGGTTTCAACCTCTACAAGAGGGCTCCAGGAGGCTTAGGTGTCAACCCTCTACGAGAGGGCTCCAGGAGGCTTCGGTTTCACCTCTACAAGAGGGCTCCAGGAGGCTTCGGTTTCACCTCTACAAGAGGGCTCCAGGAGGCGTCGGTTTCACCTCTACAAGAGGGCTCCAGGAGGCTTCGGTTTCACCTCTACAAGAGGGCTCCAGGAGGCTTCGGTTTCACCTCTACAAGAGGGCTCCAGGAGGCTTCGGTTTCACCTCTAAAGAAGCTCCAGGGGCTTCGGTTTTTCACCTCGAAAGGTGGCTCAGGAGGCTTCGGTTTCACGCTCTACAAGAGGGCTACCCCGGAGGCTCAGTTTCACCTCTACAAGAGGGCCCAGGTAGGCTTCCGTTTCACCTCTACAAGAGGGCACTTTACAAGAGGGCTCCAGGAGGCTTCCTTTACCTCTTAAAAGAGGGATCCAGGCGAGGGCTGTTCCGTCTTCACCTCTACAAGAGGGCTTCCAGGAGGCTTCCGTTTCACCTTACAGAGGCTCCAGGAGCTTGTCAGTTTTCACCTCTACAAGAGGGCTCCAGGAGGCTCGTTTCACCTCGACAAGAGGCTCCAGGAGGCCTTCCGTTTTCACCCACAAGAGGGCTCAGGAGGCTTCCGTTTCACCTCTATCAAGAGGGCTCCAGGAGCTTCAGGTTTAACCTCTACAAGAGGGCTTCAGGGAGGCTTCCCCCCGTCCACACCACCTCTACAAGAGGGCTCCAGGAGGCTTCGGTTTCACCTCTACAAGAACGCTCCAGGAGGCTTCCGTTTCACCTCTACAAGAGGGCTCCAGGAGGCTTCGGTTTCACCTCTACAAGAGGGCTCCAGGAGGCTTCGGTTTCACCTCTACAAGCGGGCTCCAGGAGGCTTCGGTTTCACCTCTACAAGAGGGCTCCAGGAGGCTTCGGTTTCACCTCTACAAGAGGGCTCCAGGAGGCTTCAGTTTCACCTCTACAAGAGGGCTCCAGGAGGCTTCGCTTTCACCTCTACAAGAGGGCTCCAGGAGGCTTCGGTTTCACCTCTACAAGAGGGCTCCAGGAGGCTTCGGTTTCACCTCTACAAGAGGGCTCCAGGAGGCTTCGGTT